AGACCATTCAGACACCGCAATTGACGCAACAAGCTGTACCCAACCAGCCAAATCCCTGCGAAGGGTGTGTCCTGTGTTGCAATCTCCCCCATGCCGGCCGAAGCCCCGATGGGGTTCATGGGGGCCAAAATAAGCTTGACCCCACACACGGCCCAGATTCGGCGTCTGAAACGACTTGGGATGAGAGCAATATAATAACACTCTAGACTCAAGGAGGAAGGACCAAACAGGCAGTGTAAAGTGGTCGGCAGGCCCAAAGTTCGTGCGACTCTCTCAATCAGCGGGGACTTAGGAGATCCATGAACCATGGCTTCGCCGACCACTTTGGCCACCATTGGAGAGATGTAACCGTGTGGATCCGAATAACTACATACCTTAATTAGTCTTTCTTGCCGTGTATCGTTATCCCGTGTTCGTAGAAACCTGCGCCATCCGGGAGGTAGCTCGAAGTCTACTGGAAGTAGAAGTTCATCGACATTCGACATTCGACATCCGACGTTGATTCGGTTGTTTCATCTCTTTCTTCTGTTTTTAGAAACACGCGGGTGACAAGGATTAAACCTTGTTCTGGCCCCTCTTGCCTGCTCCCGTAGGGCTTAGGGCGGCTGTGGTATCGACTGCCACGAATAGCAAACGAGGCTCGACGGTTGGGATCGGCGGTTGGCGAGTAGATCTGTAAGGGAAAACTGATATAGAATCTAGGTATGTCTTACCTGCTGGCTTGCGTAGATATTTTGTGGTGGTTTTCATGGGGAAATTACCAAAGAAACCGGGGAAATCCAGAGCCCTAGGTATTTGCCACTCTGGGGAATTCATGGCCCCAGGGTGATCTGAGCACGAACGACCTCGCAGAGAATACCGGACCAGGAAGTGGTGTGGTCAATTTGCGCTTTCAATCCAAGTGCTTGAATCTATGGTTACATTCGTTTCACTCATCGTACTCCTGCCCGATATACCCACATGGATTCAGTTTTTCCCTATCTGACTTCACGGCCATCCTTTCTCATCCGGAGCGGAGGACGTATTAGGTACTTCCTACCCGCCTATCCGCCGACTACGGAGCGGTAGCATGGACACTAATTAAGAGGCTCATAATTGCGCCGTTGGCAATTAAATTACGGTGGGCCTGACAGTAAGCAGTCCCCTGAGTTATCGCGTTTTGCTTTGCCCGTGAGAACCATGGCATCTGTAAACGGTCAAACACCCGTCTCTCAGCCCTCATCACGGCTGGAGTGGAGCTACTCTAATTCTCCTTTGCGGAAAAGAAGAGTCTGGAATGTCAGATTTCATCTCCTTGGCTTCGAGGGTGGATTGCTGTAATCGAGTGTAATCGAGTGGGACAGGAAATATCAATACTACGGGGCCAAAACGGGACATCGATGCCGTGAAACGATTGGATTGACCTGGGTTTCTCTATCACACGTGGGAACGACCGACAATCTGATCCATGGACGTTTCTGGGTGCTCACTGGTTAATGCGCTTGGGAAGGAGTAGGATGTCGTTTCATATTTTGGGTTTACGTTTGACGTGGACGTGGACGTTGAGGATCAAACGGCCCAGACAAAATCATCCATCACATGTAGGGTAAATCAGGATCAACGGGCCGGAATGGGACCTATAGTAATTCAGGAGAATAAACACCCGGGTAGGGATGCTCGACTCCGTATTTCGCGCAAAAAACCTGGGCGTAAGGCCAAATGGCCTGATGCCCGACCGCCAGTTCGACTAGGCCAAGGGTCTCACACCCGCAAAACAAGGGCACAACAATCGGTCAAACCCAACGGGAAATGACTTCATTCCCCCGGTTTTGACAAAACCTTGAGTTTAGACTGTGCATACATAAAGGGGTTTAACCTGGGTGGGAATAGACAGTTCCACGTTGGATTCCACGGGCCTCTAGCACCGGGATCGCCGACAGATACGAACTCCCAGCGTAATTTATGCAACTGCGCCTCAATTTTGGGCGGGAACTAGCCTCTTGACACGGCAGAATCCAACCATTGCCCTGGTGGGAATTCGAGGAGCGCCTTCATTCGCTTATGATTGGAGCAGACGGGGTCTGTGGCAGACAGACGTGGCGCTAATTATCTTTGGGGGGGCCCTCTAAATCGGTCACTCCGATTGACAGCTCTGCTAACCCCCCTGCACCGGCTAGGGCTATATGGCGTAATTAGTGTAGATAGTCTAGACTAATATGGTCAATGGGGAAGAAAGCGTCAGAGTGCTACGGAGTAGTTTCCAGACAATTAATGAATTGGTCTGTGTGTAAGTCTGTGTGTAAATCTGTGTATCAGATAGAAATCTTCATCGACAAGCTATGGAGTACGGGGCAAGTAGGAACCAAACTAGCGAATCTCCGATCAAATCTGAGACTTCTCCGTACTCCGTAGAAAATTGAGAAATGTCAGTTTACGCGGCACATCCGGGAAAAAAAATTGGTTTGACATCTGTCCAATTCCGGGATCCACCGTTTGCTTTTTTAATCGGATATGTAACTCCGAGGGACCATGAAGCACAAGAATTGATGTATAACAAACATATCAACATGATCTGGCAAATCGTCGGTCGCAAGACACATGAAAGAGAGGGGACTCGCGTTCCCAAATTCCCTACATGCATGGGAATGCTGTAAAAAAAAAAGGCAACCAACAGAACCAGGCCGAATCGTGATAACCGAAAGTCGAAAGTATGCGGCTCTTGCACGGCAGCGCAGGACAACTCCGAGGACCATCAGGAAAAAAAAAACACAGACATAACATGCTGTAATGATCGCCTGTCACGAGTACGAAGAGGGAATGGTGTGCAAAACACACACGAACCCACTGAGTCGACCGCCCTAAGGAACGCCCATCGAGCCCTCACAGGCCCCTTCAGAGATCTGATTGGAAGAACGGCGGAGTCTCTCATTTCGTTTCCATTGGGCTGTGGTACTTGGCCAATCATACCTCCGTGCACGCGGTTGGTCTGCCGAATACTAAGTGGATGGGGGCTCCCGTCAAGGATCGACCGAACTCATGGGATTCCGATTTGTGTATGGTAATTTTGGGTGTTATGGTAACTTGTCTTTTTTTTTTTTCTCTCACCCCTTGTGTTGTCTTTTGTGCCTTCCTCTTTCTGCTCCTATTTCTCACCAAAAAATGACACCGACTCACTGAGGTACCATGGCCTCGGGTCAGGTTGATCTCTGATCCACTCCTCCCCTAACATGAATTAGTGCAAAGAAGAGACTGGGCGGTTAGGCGGACCGTGACTACGTCGTCGATGGGATAGACCATTTCTGACTAGTATTCCGTATAGCCTTCCTAAAAGTGTTCAGTGTTGTGGTTTATGCCTTTGTAAGCTAGTTCATAATTATATGCATCTCCCCGGTAATCAAAACCCCGATTTTGCGGGTGCTTCCCAATGGGGGAGGTGACAAGCCTAAATTGGTCTTTCTGGGGATAAAAGGCATGGCGCCAAGCCCACATCAGAGAGCCCCTACTATAAACAACGGACTTGCCGATGACAGCATATCGAAGATGAGAGAGGTAATTTCCACTAACGACGGAGGAATGACTAATGACATGGTTTCATTTTCGTGGAACGGTTGACTATCTGACAGGAGGCTTCTCCTGATCTCTGTACTCCGTACTCCGTAGATGTACAGAAAAAAACCCCCACGTTGTACGTCGTAGTACAATGTACAGGGGTTGCAAAGCATGCAACAGGTGGACTAGTGACTTTGTACCATAATTGCTTTTGATGTAAATGGGTGTGCTTGATCAATTTTGTTTCCGATGAGCACGATGGACGATCTATCGCCTTGATGCAGGTACTCCAGAAAACCAATACTTCTTTCCATCGGAGATAATGCTGGGATAAAGTGTTCGGATCTGGTACCTTATAGGGCAGAGCGGGCCCAAAGTAGACCAAGGTAGAGCTGTCAGAACCCAGAAATAGGTAATATGTACTCCGTAGTAGGCTATTGACGGGAGGACAGATACTGGGCGCCTGATAAAGGCTGTGCTGATGGCTTGAAAAATACCGTGTATACTCCCTATATGCAGCGTGATAAACATTCGTACGTAAATCATTCCACGTTCAAGTCCCCTACGGAGTAGATGCTGATGCTGGGTACTCTGTACGGAGCACGCAAGGAAAGGCACAATAATGTCAATCCACAATGATTACTCGATAATTATGTTGAGGTAGTATCCAGAGAATACTCGAAGATCCTTGTCCGAGGAATCCAATGTGCAGATACATAAATCATAATAGCCCGAATAAATGAGGGTCCCGAATTTGTCTGCATGAGTGCCAAGTTTCCCTGTCCCTGTTCACAGCCCCCGACACGTTCGGTTCGTGCCAAAAATACGGTATGTAATGGTCATCTGGTTTTATTACTTTCTGATTATTTGCTTTTTCACGATTTTCCTAATATTCCATTTTTAATTTAATTCTATTTTGATTTTTGTTATTACTATTTTTCTAGTTTTCTTTTTGAAATAAAATTAAATAAAAATATAATTCTAGACACAAGACTATAACCCGTAGGGCGGGCCCATCGTCACCATTTAGCAATACCTCTTTCTCTTCTACATCTATAATATCCCTTCCTCCCTCCCCCCAGTCTTTCATGACTCTAAATCATTGCCTCGTCTCACGTTCCAGGACAACTCTCGTCTTTGATTGTCTCGGAAGTAAGCTTGATTGAATCGCTCTCCCTCGACTCTTGCTTCACTATCGATCACATCCTTCGCTACCCGCACTTGTGAACGTGACTTCCCTGTCTTGCAATATCATACTATAACTCCTTGCATGAAGGCCTTTCTTGACAGTCAATTGCACACGTTATCTCTTTTTCGTGGTTGGCATCTTTGGTTAGCCGAGCGGCCCGCGATCTCATCCAGAAACCTTATCGCCGGTATGTCCATGTGCCGTGACCCTCGGCGACAGCACGTACTGATCAGCTTTCTCTGTCTAGTATCATTGTCGCGCAGTGCAATTGCCAGTGAAGGAAATGACGACATTTGAATCCCATCCTGATTTTACTCTCTTTCCCTTCCATTCCCAATCGAAGATGATGGCCGTCGAAGCTGCCAGGTCTAAGCAACCTTCATATTTCGATCCCATGGCTATGGATCCTTCCATGTTCTCTTTCCCCGTGGAAAACCTCCCCCACTACGCTCAGAGCCACGATATGTCCCGTGCTTGCAATTCCTACTACAATACCCAGATGTTCGAGGGCGCAGACCTCCAAAAGTCTACCTATTTCTCTTCTATGCCCGCCACACCCCCTTCGGTTCCCAACTCCCACTGCGCCGAGCCTTGTATTCCTGTCAGCTCTTCTGCATCGGGCCCGTCAATTGCTAGTGCATCCTCCTCTGCCATGGGGTCTCCATACTCTGGAACCGCTCATGCGTTCCAGGAGAATTGGGTAAACACAAACCATGGACTGGGTCTGCCGGTGGCGGTAATGAGTGACCTTTTCCCTCAAGAGTACATGGCAAACACAGCAGAGGTAGACATGATCTACCAGGAGAAGTTTCCTGACTCGTTTGTTGGTATGTTTTGATCTCAATCAGAGAAGCTGTCGGTCATACTAACCATGCACACCAGATCCTTCGTTGATCCAACCGGCGCAGCAAAGCTCCAGCATTACCCCGACTATCGCATATCCCGAACAACCAACTTCATCCTACTCAAATATGCCACCAAACTACTTCCCCCACTCTCCTGCCGCATCACCCCTTCCTTACAATGACATTGTAGAGCACCACCCTTCGCCACGCTCACACCCAGCACAGCACGTTGGGCAGTCTCCTCTCGCAATCCCTCACCACCCTCATTCCCGCCCAGTTTCAATCTATGATCGACGATCATCTATCTCCTCAATTCACTCCCGGCGCTCGCAACACAGTCCAGCACTGAGCAGCATCGAACCAGACGAAGAAATCAAAGAAAAAGGGCGCTGTCCCCACCCCGATTGTGGCCGCGCGTTCAAAGATTTGAAAGCTCACATGTTGACTCACCAGTCAGAACGGCCAGAAAAATGTCCAATTCTGACTTGCGAGTACCACATCAAGGGTTTCGCCCGCAAATACGACAAGAACCGCCACACCCTGACCCACTACAAAGGAACCATGGTGTGCGGCTTCTGCCCAGGATCCGGCTCCCCCGCAGAGAAGAGCTTCAACCGCGCGGACGTCTTCAAGCGACACCTCACATCCGTCCACGGCGTGGAACAAACACCACCGAACTGCCGAAAGCGCAGCCCCGGCGCGCCTAAGAAGGGCGGCAACTACAGCCCTGACGCAACCGGCAAGTGCTCAACTTGCTCAGCCACCTTCAGCAACGCACAGGACTTCTATGAGCATCTGGATGACTGTGTCCTCCGCGTTGTGCAACAAGAAGAGCCCTCGGAAGCAATCAACCAGCAGCGTTTGGCCGAGGTTGCCTCGGACGAGGAGGTTCAAAAGACCATGGAGAGGCACCAACTACACGACGTGGCCGGTCCCGTCGATCAATTTGATGATTACGAAGACCAAGACGAAGATGATTCCCTCGATCCCTCCCACTGGCGCGGTCTGAAGACCAAATCCAAATTTTCCAAGGGCGTTCCTGCCTCCCGCCCCATCCTCGGCTCTGGCAATGCCATCTCCAAAAACTCCAAAGCACCTCGTACCGTCGCGACCCGTCGCCGCAACAACCGTGGCAACTACCCCCAGTCCTGGGGCTGCCCCAGCAGCACCATGAAGACCAAGAAGCGCGTGCTCTGCGTCTTCGATGGCCAGCGCCGCCTGTGGAAAGACGAGATGATGCTGAACAACGAGTTCGAGGTCCGTCTGAGACTCCCCGGCGGTGCAGGTGATGGCACCAACCGCGACGCATACGTTACCGACCTAGATGTTGAGACCCTGAAGCGCGCTGAAGGTGTCTTGAACGCCAGCGAGGACGAGCGTGGGCCTTGGTTGAACGGTCCTTTGCCTCACATTATGGGCCAGCCAGCGATGCTATTGCCGGAATTGTGCCAATCGCACGACGATGAGATTTCGATCAATGAATTAATGGCTTGAACGATTTTCCTTTCTCTCCCTTACTCTTTCCCCCCCATTTCTGGAGGCCTTTTCATCTTTATTTTCTTTGTCTCATGTTTTCCGGATAGCAGCGGCGTCTTGACGAGCGATTTGTCTGAATACGGATTATGGATGATACCTATGTGTTTCAAATGATGTTTTTTTTTTCCTTTGTCTTTTCCATCTCCCTGCTCTTGTGGCTGAGGATCGATCCCGCCGGACGGGATCTACCAGGACGCTGGTATTAATTGAATACTCAAAATGAGGGTTTTCGAATACAAAAACATTCATTTTCCATTGATTTCGCCAAGTAAAAAGTGTAGAGTAGCATCTCTGAGCATCTCTGAGGAGCCAGACAGACGCGGGCCAATCCCCGCCCATCTCCACCTCCCCATGTTCTGCCCTCTTCCCCGTGTTACTCCATTCACCTTTCACCATGCAACTCGGTCTTTCGGAAACACTGCCTGCGCTGGTGGCAAGACGCTTTACTGCTGCCAAAGATGCCGGCCATCTCGTCTTCTCCTCGACTCATATGTCCATCATCAATGCCGCAGGGATATCGGTGAGTGACTCCAAATCTCCGACCGCGGGTCTAACCTGCGAGTCCAGTACCAACTCCGTTACTGCCCGGCCCTCGCGAAGAAACCCTCAAACCTGAAACCCGACAATGGCCCAAAGACACCAAAGATCGATCCCTTCGAGAATCCATCTCCAGAACTGCTGATCGCCCAGTTCCCAGCCGGGAACCCCGCCTACAACCTCATCCTCAACAAGTTCCCAGTCATCCCGAACCACTTCCTCCTTGTGACAAAGGACTGGCAAGCGCAGACGGATATCCTCGAGCAGACAGATCTGGAAGCTACATACGAGTGTCTGAAAGCCTGGAACACCAACAGCGATGGGTCACGATCGGCCAGCTCTCCGAAGAGCCTCTTCGCCTTCTTCAATTCCGGCGACGACAGCGGCGCAAGCCAACCACACCGCCATCTCCAATTCCTCCCCGTCGAAGCAATGCGCCAACCCGGCTCGGAGTCCTGGCAGCCGTTGATCGACCTCCTCGCCTCCCAACCCACCTCCCCTTCCCCGTCATCAACACCCAAGTTCCAGCACCTGTCCGGGCTCCCCTTCGCCCATTTCGCACTCCCGATCCCACCAAACCCCTCCCCCGAGACCATCTATGCCATATATCTAGCCCTCTACAAGGCCGCCGTTGCAGCGACGCACGGTCAATCTCCGAGTCAGGACACTGAGCCCCACCCCAAAGGACCAGCGTCTATAAGCTACAACCTGGCGATGACCGAATCGACGATGATGATCTGCCCGCGCAAACAGGAGACCGCGCTCGTTCCAGTCGACACCGCGACGGCGCGCGAGATCGTCGATCCAGGCGTCGTCTCGCTGAATGGCACCATTCTTGCCGCGACGCTGATGGTCAAGGCCGAGGGCGAGTGGAATTCTTTGCGGGAGAACCCGGAGCATTTGACGCAGGTCCTGGCTACTGTTGGGTATCCTCGCACGGATGCTCGTGGGCCTTCGCTGTGAATCAATCCATGGTTGTATAGCTGTACGCATGTGGTATACTACTTGCATACGAGAATCAAATACCCATATGAAATATCAAGTATCTATATTATTATTTACAGGATTCCGGGAGGGCTATTTGATACCCTAGATACCAAAAGATATGTGATTCTTGGAGCCTAAACGGTAAGGAGGAAGTGCAAGTCATTGAAAATGCTTCCGATGCTTGATTGGCTTCAGCTCACTCTGCGAAAGGTCAATCTTGGATATATGGAGACCATCCGGCCGCTACTGCTCAGCCGGACAATTAACCGCGGCTGTACAGCTAGAATGGCCCCAGGTTGGCCGAGGCAAGTCGGGGTGTCCGCTTAGGTGTCTCACAGTAGTACCTCCTCTAAGAGAGGCAAGCGTAACTTAGCGAGGAGCGAGGGCAACATCTTTGAGGGAATGGGCATAACGAAAGGGTATTGGTGGTATTTCCAGGAAAAGGCATCCGCGAACAAACCGTACATCACCTATTCCGTATCCATCCTTGAGATCCAAGGCTCTTGCCCAGTTGCGGCTGAGAAATCGCCCATGTCATCCTATCGCGTCAGCTCATCCAACATGTCCACGAAGATCATATCCACTTATCTGCGCTAGGAGATATCCATCCTGCCATGTAATAAGTTTTCTTCCGGACGACTCGCACCAGAACCGAACCGAGAAAGTCGATCTCCAATGTAGTAGATATGCATACTCAGCAAATTGCATGAGATCTCACCTGGGCGTCTTCCACCCCGGTCACAGAACCCCAGAAGCCGCAGGGATTTTCCCCAAGTAGCGAGCGAACGCTGTGGCCAAGGTGTATCTCTGTACCAAGTTCTGGTGCTGGCAGATACGATAACCTACTTGGACCATCCGGATATAGATGTGGTTAGAGAGGGCTTCGAATTCTTCGAGGGGAACGGGTGTGGTGTTTGCCATGGTGAAGCGGCGGTCGATGTCGCGGCGGATGAGGGCGATTTCTTGCATTGTTTGCACTACGATGTGCTGATTGGGATCTGCTGTCGGCGTGGTAGTGGTGGAGAGTTGCTCGGTTGGGTTCATTTTGGGGACGATGGCGGGGGTGTGGTGGATTTGATAGTGTAGGGTTTCTGGGTGAAAGGGTAGAGAAGATGGTTGGGGAAGGTAGGGATTATGTGGCTTATGATAGATAGGAATAAGGTAATGGCCAGCGTTGCCTTGGATGATGTATTGCCATTGTTGGCTGCGACAGGGAAATAATGGTATGTAAGCATGATACTGCTAAATGATCTATCTCATGGTTTGACTCAAAGGGGCATTGGTTTCACCTGGGTTTAGGCAAGTCGGACTATCAAACAATAGGTGTTTCAAGCTCTCAGCCAATGTAATTGTCGTATCAAAGATGAAGATATCTCTAATTTGATAGAGTTGATATTCAGTCCTGCAGGTGAGATGAGTCGATATCAATTACATGTGTCTCTGATCTCATATTTATCTCTAATCGGTCTACGCAGTAGGCATGCACTGGAAGTCTTAAGGCATCATTTATGTCTGGCTACTCCGTAGACCGCCCACTGATTAATCGTATATACGGATTAGCAAGAATCATGCCAACACACCATTCCCCGGGTTTGGGGGACTCCACGATCTATGTATTTAGATCGCGGAGGCGGGGCTATGTACGGAGTACAAAGAACACAAAACCGACTAATCTCCTGTGAAGGCGAAGAAGTGAAACATGGCCAAGATGCATGGTTATATTAATAGCCCAAGGGATGGTCCCTAAGTGATCCTTCGCATTTGAATTTTCTTTAAGCTAAGCTCGCTAACCGTTAAGGGGGCCTACGCCCGGGGGCCAAACCATGTGATTCTCGGCGAGAGGCTGCTGATTGGACGAGATCATCAGATCTAAATCCTCCCGCTAAGGCGGCTGTCTTCATTGGACAGTTGTGTCTTCGCCTTGAGCCGTTCCTGGTGTTTTAAGCCTCATATACTGCCCTGAATCCACTATCCCGCTTTGACTCTCGCCCCCATTTTATTTTTCTTCGACAGTTAAAAGGAACACTTTCCCATCTATTGGCCCTCTGAATTGGTGCTTGTTAACCTCGGAACCTTGGAAATCATATACCTGCGATGGAGCCAACCAAAGAGTCAACCGTGGTTAACCCACCGGCTACTGCCGCCGAACCAGTTCCCCACACTCCGGCCACAATAGAGACAGCGACTACACCAGCAACAGTTTCAACAGGGCTTGCAGCGTCGGCTACAGCACCTGAAGTAGTCCCAACACCAGAACCTGCCACAACTCCTGCTGCAACCGCCGCACGATCAGCACCAGTAGAAGATCCGATGGCAATCATACCAGCAGATGCTCCACTTGGACCTCCACCACAATATGACGAGTACGTTCTTTGATCTACTAAAATGCAAGCACAGAAATGAGAACAAGGCCAATGCTAACTTTCATAGTCACCACAAAGACGCAATCTCAGCACCCGAACCCGCCTTCACTGTACCAAAAATCGACTCACAAGGCATACCCATCGGCCAACAAGTTCCACCCTCTCATAGAGTCATCCCAATAGCCCAGCTAGGAGAGGAGCCCCGATGGATCCAGTGTCGATTCTGCTACCACGAAGCCTTGACCAGAGTGCAGAAAGAAAGCACCAGCGATACCACGTAAGTCCAGACATGCATTTTACATTGAGCGGTGTGTCCATTCGCCAGAAGCTAACACATTGTTCTACAGTATGGCTGCTGCCTGCTGCTGTCTTTTCGGCGGTCTTTGCTGCGCTTTTATACCCTATTGCTTCGAAATGTGCCACGACAGCCACCATTTCTGTACAAACTGTGGTGCGAAGGTAGCGGTTCGTCCGCATGAGGGTCCGATTCAGGAGTTCTACCCCGGTCCTGCTGGCCCTGTTATGGTGGCGCCTGCGCCTGTTCAACAGCCGCAGTCGACTATGGATAAAGTAGGTGATTTCCTATAAGGCTGAATTGCCATGATACTCACACGTCATGTTTTGTTCTTTTTATGTATTCCTATCGATTATCTCACCAACTTATTGTCTAATGAGAATGAACTTTTACGAAACTTCCTGATTATTCCAAGGTGATTATTTCTTCTTGAAATATCTGATACACAACCCTGTTTGTAATAAGGCAATGAGCACCACGAACCAGTCAATACGAAAGCTGCCAGCTACAGGTATAAATTGACAACTTGCTATTCGACCGAACAAGTTGACCGAGGAAGAAGTTAGATGACAAAGATAGACCATAGTAAAAAAGAGGCTGATCATATTAGTGAACATTCCTAATTGCAATTAATATCGCCCATCAAACCTATGACCCCAAAGCGTCGACCCTGCTGCTTGAGCGACCAACTGAGCATTCACAGGTCTGATGTCCTTGCCAGTTAGATGAAATGTCCGAATATCTTCCATACCCAACCTCTCAAACCCAATATGCGAATAAATAGATAGTCCCACATTGTGCACCATCATCTCGGCATTCTTCATACTCGCAAACCCAGGACTAACGCGAGGTTCATCATAGTGCACATCCAACCCAGTAGCAGCATGCTTGCCACTCTTCAACACGTCAACCAGGGCACCCTCATCAAGTAGCCTGCCACGGGCGATATGAGACCAGAAAATCCCTACAACTACAAGTTCAGATACGCTGATTCTGAAATTGAATACCTCAAACGACGTGCACGATTGCGTCCAGCTAGCGGCATGACACCGTGTGTGAAACTGGGAAATTGGATTTACTTTTGAGGGCTGAGAATTCATGACGTTCGACTTATAATGGAGAGAAATGGATCTGATGGAAAGAGATAATGGTAAAATCGATGTTTATCGAAGGGGAAACTAGATTAAAACTCCCGTGACCGTGTTTATGTATGTCTGCCCTGTTTCCTGTCCTTCCCCCTAGTCGTGCTTCTCTGGGGACAGAATACCAAATATCGCCACTTTCAGAATCGTGTATGAAACTCCCGTGAAGTCGTCCTGTTGATTCCTTTGTATGCCAATCTCCCAGGCAATGTAGCGATGAGAAGCTAGGGGAAGGTAAAGATGATGATATCCAGCTATCTGCCACTAGCTACTGACGCCAGAGGCGTCGCACGTGATCCAAACGGTCACATGTCCGTTACATCTGCCGGCTCACAAAGAGTCGGTCGTCCTCGGCCGATATCTACGTGCAGTAGATGGCGTTTGACTGAATATGTTTAATCTTTTAATGTTAGGACCGGCGTACTGGCGGGTCCTGGCAGGTAATGTAGAACTAGAGTGAAGGAATAGCAGAGTGCTGGTGTATTCATAAACTAATCGCTAAAGAGCTAAGTTCCCCTGGCAGTCTCTTCGGGGATGACCTCTGGCGGGTCACGGGACTAGGTCACCTGACCCGGCAGGACTCAGTCCTTATGATGTACTCCGTACTCTCTGGCGGGGGGTTATGATACCCTTGCTGGATCACGGGTTCTGGGTCATAAGACTAGGCGGGGTCCAGCCTGTGAGGCACTCTCTGGCAGAGCGTCGTAACATTTTCCCCCTCCTTGAAGGACTGCGACCTCGCAGTGAAGGGGAGGGAGTCGAGGATAGCGTCGGTCTCTTACAGTCAAGAAAGGGAAAGGTTAAAAATAGCACGTGTGTCTGGCTGTCTGAAGGGGAGCAATTTTGTTTGTGGCGGAAGGTAGAGATGGACTCGGAGCGTTGAGCGTTATCTCCTATCGTCGTATATGATATGAGTTTCTTTGTGCTTTTTTCACTTATTTCTCTCTGAGTTGCAGCTTTTCTTTCTACACCTCCTCGTCGTTTCGCTTTTCCTTCTGCAGATCACTCTCGAGTCGCTATGGCAGCACACGCTCCAGGCAAGTTAGGGGAGGATCCAGAACACCAGCAAAGACAAGAAGCGGACGGAAAACCTCCCAAAGAGACTGCAGACGCATGACAAGGATACGTAGGAGTTCATCACCGAAAAAGAGGACGAAAAATAACACTATCAATACTCTCCAACGGTGTAACGCGATAACTATGTACCTATACTAGACGAGCAACCTCCGAGACACGCCTATAACCTTACCGCCACACGCGTAGCCCGAGCTGAAGAGGCGCCCGTAGCTGACTCCCAATCCGACTTATCCATAAAACCCACGTCGAGAGGGGTGGGGGGGGGGCGGCGGAGGCGGCGGAGGCGGAGGGGGCGTAGGACGAGGGGGACCGAAAGGTGTAACCATACCAGCGCAAATATCCCGAGTCAAAGAGTTCCGTACACCTCGAAATCCTTATATAATCGCAGAGAACGACGCATTCTGCGCTAGGGTGACACGAGGCGCTAAGATGCAAGCATTAGCTTGACTATCGAGCCTAGAATCAACCTGAGGAACGTCAATAACCGCTAACACGAGCGGGGAACTGCACTCACCATTATATAAGACTGCCGCTTCGTCACACAATAGTCGCATCGAGGAATGTTGATATTGATTGCGCCAGGCGGAGGAACACACCCATACGCTAGGTTAGATCCAAGACGATCCACACAACGCCGACACCACGCACTTATAGGGTTGGTGGGTGCGACAACAGCTGGAGGGGCATAGTTATTGATAGAGGTGTACGTCCCACTTGCGACGGGAGGAAATGGGGCTCCTTGTGCCATCATATGTCTTGCGACAATATTAGACGTCCAAGATGCGCGTGGCTGCTCTAGGTGCCCGAGCAATCACAGGACCATGAAAGCAAAGATTGTAAGAAGTGAGTACCTTAAGTGGATATCTGGCACTTGATATATTTTCCTTAGCAGATCCATCTTCTGGATCTCAAGCTGGGCGTGGAGCCATTCGCAATCCCCTTCACTCACTCCAGCGACCATGGTGCAGTACTGCGTATCATCCGCAAGGTCGTGGATTCTCCCGATGAGGAATGCACGGAGCTCTCGATGGTTCTCTCGACGAAGAACCGGTAGCTCGATTTTGAAACATTTGTGGGGATGTGTGAGGATACGTGAGTCTATGGTGTATATGTTAGCCGGGATTGGTCAGGAACTGAATGGAAACCATGATCGGGAGACACGAACTGATCACTTGGCACGTAGGTAAATAGAATCACCTGTGCAAGATGATGAGTTTTAGAAGAAGCCAAGATTGAGGTAAGAAGAGGTTGGGGTCGAGAATGATGAAAGAGGAAGAGTGGATGTTAGAAAGAAGTCACGTTGGACTTATAAATATACGTAGCTCCCATATAGAGGGTGGATATGCCTACGTAACTGAAGTAGAGCTGCAATTACTCACTAAGCATTGCTGGTAATATAATGACCGCAATGTTTGCTATGAAGATCAGAAAAGCGACACGACCGTTGCAAAATGTGTATATGTGAAAGGCCAATCTCTATATAATCATCTTATATGGCCGCAAGTATCATATGGCGGCCCTATCTCTTGAGGCTAGCGAGACGCGCCAATCTCCTGTAGATGGTCCATTGTTTTCCCTCAGAAGTTAGGTTATCTGGTTGAACATCCGTGATAATCACTAAGGCCATCAATCTTGGCGACTAAAGAACTAATCATTTAAACTTGGCATTTTATTAAAGTGAATGGTCAATCAAAATACGTGGAAGTTGTCAGCAGGAGATAAGGGTACGGTGGTATGAATTCCTGGTCTTCTCCGGTCCTTTTGCCCACTCGTTTCTGTTATTATTTCTCTTCCAAGGAGAAGATCAAACACCATAAATGCTGAAACTGCGTACCAGGCGCTGTTGAAAGAATTCCATTGCCTGCATTCTGTGGGAGTTTCCCAGATACCGAATTAGCGCCCAATCATGAACACATACATCGCCAGGAGCGAGGATCTCAAGTAGACGTCTGGCGCCTGGTAAATCTTCCTAACAGAGCAACCTTCTGCGTCTGAAGATACGCATCAAGACGTTCATGGTCTGCCTTGTTGACCTCAGGTAGTGTATTGCAGTATCGCATATCGTCCGCTAGGTCGTGGATTTCTTCGAGAAGAACTTCTCGTAGCTCTCGATAATTCAAGCGGCGAAGGACCGGTCTGTCCATCTTGGAGTATTCATAAGTGTGTAGGTGTCTAGGGTTCATAGGTTAGTTGCAATTCAGGACGATCCAGCAGAAAATGATACGTAGACACAAACAAGCTTATTTTAGAATGTAGGTCGATGAGGCGAGTCTGTAACGGATGAGGGGAAGGGTTGAAAGATGGGAAATGAAATTGATGTGAGAAGAGGTGGAGGTTGAAGACGGAGAAAGAGAATAGGATGGATGATGGAAGGAAGTCACGATCGATGTATATACGTACACGGTGATCACCGAGATATCAAACTCGGCAACTAAAGAGCTGACCCTCTAGAATTGGCACTTCATCAAGGTGAATGGATAATGAAAATGTTTGGAAGTTGTAGAGGGACATAAGGTCCGAATGAGGGTTGGGTGGAGGCGAGACAAGAGAGCCAATTTTGTTTACATCGCCGGCCTTTCTCCTGCGATTGATCTTCTGACCAGAACAAAAAACACGATATATGTTGGATTACTGTACCAGCACCCGTTGTAACCATCCCATCGCCTCCACTGTGTAGGAATTTGTCGCATAGCGGGTTGTTGCTCGATCTGGAAGGTATAGATTGCAAGGATCGAGTATCTCAAGTAGAGATCGGAGACTTGACAGATCTTCCCAACAGAGCAGTTTTCTGCGTCTGGGATTAAGCATCAAGGCGTTCATAGTACGCCTGGTTGAACACAGCTAGTGTGTTGCAGTATGCAATGTCATCCGCCAGGTCGTGGACATTTCCGAAGAGCAATGCTTGTAATTGTCGATTATTCTCGCGACGAAGGACCGGTCTGTCCATCTTCAACCTTGGAAATATTTAGGAGTCTGGATTTCATATATTAGTTGCAATTCAGGGACATTGAGACGAAACTGATGGGTGAAACGAACAAGTTGATATGAGAATTAGGTTGACCGGGCGAAGTTGTAAGGGTTGAGAGATGGAACATGAGGTCGATATGAGAGGAGATGGAGGTTGAAGATGGAGAAAGAGTGGAATATCATGGATGAGGGAAGAAAGTCACGATCGACGTAAAAATACACACAGCTCTTATATAGGAGGTCAACTTGTCTACAATGATCGAAGGAAAACATGTGGAAGATCGATGTCTATGGATTGACTTTCGTCGTACTCAGCACTATTTATTGTGTGGCTGCAAATATTACTCGATCATCGATGGTGATTAGAAGTAGTAATAAGGCCAGAAGAAGAATTAGCGAGCACGTCCAGAAACTGAGTCTACACTCCGAGTGATCGATTGAAGCCTAGCATTCTCTCAACAGGCTGATTCCGAGTTGGTAGTCTGCAATCGTAAGAAGACGAACAATGTGATCAGCAGACATCCTAGGTACAACTCTAGCAGCGAGGTAATTGTTGCCGGCAGCGCATATTTCGCGCTCGAAGGTACTCATGAAGCCATCCATAGTCTGTATCGTTAACTCTGTTCAGAGTACTATAGCTCTGATCCGATCCACGAGGCTAGATACTTTCCCTTTCGATGATTGGGAACTGAATTCACCTATAGATCCTATTGAGAGGTTATGAGACACTGCGGTGAAGAATTTGATAGGAAGCAAACTCGGGCATTCCGGAGTTTGGTATTTCCCGGCAAACATACTATCCACTGATTCTCTGGACGATGTTGAAGATATAGAGGTATGATATAGCATGTAGGGTTTCAACAATGGGTTTAAATGATACTGGGAATAGGATCTCTTATAGAAGTATTGAATTGTCTAAAGATCTAGATAATATCTGCCTTTTCCTGCTATTTATGCCCCTTTATGTGCCGAGGATCGGAGTCCTTAATTTGGCCCCTAAAGGTGGGCTTTTCGGTAGAAAAGACAAAAAGGGCGTAGCGTTAATAATCCTACGGATGAGAGAATCCTGCCTTAGGCATGGTTCTTAACACGCCCCCTTAACGTATAGCCGTTGCATATCGTAAGATCATGTTGTCGGGGACTAAGATAAATGAGGTTTCTTAGTTAAAAGGTGTAGCTTTTGGACTATAGGAAGGTGCAAAACTGCTAGTTTTGTACTGCGAAAGACGTAGGGGTTTATTCTGCCGAAAGTCTATATGTTTTAGGGTCGAGGTTTAAACCTACGATAAACTCTATAAATTTAGGAGCCCCGAGGGGCTTTATTAGTCTATCTATAATGTTTTTAGTCCCTTTTATATATGTAAGCTTGATTTTTCCCCTTTTAACTTGCTTATGGATCTAGTACTAGTACACGTCGATATATTTTGAACGTCCTAAAATAGTAGGGTTCTTCGTTATCGTGATCGTAGATTAGCTATCGCTATATAGAGGGATAGGGGGGAGGTCTATACTTCCTTAGTAAAAATTAAGATCTTTTAGTAGTTTTCGTAGCTAAATTGCCTCTCCGCTAGTAATTAAGAGGGCTATATATTTAGCTTCGGCGCTTAATTTTACTATACTGGTCTGCTTTTAAGATTTCTATAATATTAGACCCCCTACGAGGAAGAAGATATACCTAGTCTTGCTTTTACTTTCTAGGGCTAATCCGTATAAGGCGTCGATATACCCCTAGAGGTCCTAATTAGGTCTAGATTAGTATATAATTACGTAATAGTTAGTGCGTCCTATATAAGTAATTACTCTTTATACTAGATCCTTATATTTAGTGTTTAGGTTTATAGTAAACTACGAAAGTATACTTACTACGAGTAAGAGGTTTAGACGTATAACTATACTAGTATAGTTAATCGAGCCTATATCGGATTAGTACTATTTTACTACCTTACTTATAGCGGTAAGGGTCTCTTCCTTTATTAGGATAATAGATAAAGGGATTATAGGTCTTAAAGTTACGGTTTTTAAGAACCTTTCGACGTATATTTTTTACGAAATTATTATTTTTCCTATCTCTCTATCGTATACTATTTTTATCGAAAGATAGTAGGATAGCTCGCCGAGGTCCGACGTAGACTATTTTATCGAAATAAGGTCCTTTATAGTTTTAACGAGATCCGCTATAGAAGCTATAATCAAAAGGTCGTCGACGTATATAAAAATATAGACGATCGTACCGGCGCCCCCTTAATTATACTATATATAAAGATATAGGTCGGAAGTAGATCGTATAAAGCCTTTCGTTAATAAGTGGTCCCCTAATATGTTAAACTAGTTTACTACTAACTATTTTAGACTATAAAGACTCTTTTTTAGGAGGTAGACTTTGCCTTAGATCTCTAAAAAATCGGTATTATCTTCGAAACCTTCGGGGTAGTATATTAAGAGTCTCTCCTTTAGCGTGACGTTAAGATATATAACGTTCACGTTAATATAAGCTATAAAAAGCTTCTTTTACGTGATTATAGCGAGGAGGATCTATAGCGTGACGTAGCTACCTATACTAGTAAAGGTCTCGGTATAGTCTAGATCTTCCCGTTATTAGAAACCTCTCGCTACCTAGCGAGCCTTAAATTTTAGGGGGTTTCTATCTATGTCGAGTTTTAGTTTATATACCTATTTACCGGTAAGGATATATATATTCTTAGCGGGTACGGGGGTAGGGATTATCTCCTAAGCTTTAATTAAACTAAGCTATTTAAACTCGATTTTTATAACGCGGTACCACTAAGGCTAAAGGGGTAAGTTACGTGCTTATCGGACTAATTTAAGGTCTTCTATCTATTTAGGGTCTACATTTTTTTAGGATTATTAGTAGGGGTAAGGTTAGGAGATCTTTAGATAATAGGGTTAGTCTAGCTTACGTATATAGGATAGTGGTGTATTGTATTAGATCCTATATACGTTTTTTGTCTACCCGAGGTATAGTGGTATAGAAAACCTTATTTTAGATCTTATAATTAAGGTTAGCGAGTTCTTCGGTAGATAGTCTCGGTAGGTCTACTAATAGGACCGATTCGTTACTAGAACTCTTATTGATAAGTCTAAGATCTCCCTTAGAGTCCGAAAAAGGGGTGCTTTCTTCGGCGGAAGAAGTTATAGGGGTCTTTTCGGCGGAAGAATTTGTAAGGTTTATATTATTTATAGGGTTCTTAGGGTCTATAAGGTTCTTAGGGTCTATAAGGTTCTTAGGGTCTATAAGGTCCTTAGGGTCTATAAGGTCCTTAGGGTCTATAAGGTCCTTAGGGTCTATAAGGTCCCTAGAGTCTAGGAATAGGAACCTAGACTATTTTGCCGACCGTAGGGTTTCTAGTAGGACTAGGAGATTAGGATTATTATATAGGGTCTAGTCGTCTCCTTCGTCGAAAATGACGTCTCTCCGGGTTATGATCTCTCCCCTATTTCTATCTATATTTAGACGCTAGATACGGTATTATATACTATAGTAGCTACTATACCCGATAAGTCTACCTATCTAGGCGCGGGGCTATAAATGTCTACTTATTAATATACTAACTATAGCCTTAATCTCTTCGGGGCTTCTTATAACGTAAGCCTTACTACCGGGTATCTATAGGAATGAGATATTAGGTTTTCTACCGAATCGTATTTTATATAGTGTCTAGTTTAGGAGACCGTCTCTTTTTCTACTAAAATAGATAGTGAGGTTACGGGTTATTATCACTATTTTTATTAGTTCGGGCTATAATATATCTAGGAGTCTAGTATCGTCGAGAATAGCTCTAGTGCGTTCTTACACTATTCGTATTATTCTTTCGACTTTACTATTTTATCTATATGCGTATAGTGCTAAGAAATATAGACGGGTGTTAGTGTCCTTAGCCTATTTTTATAGGCGGAAGTTATTAAACTCTCCTCCGTAATCTAATTAGAAGGCTCCGATCTCTAGTCTATTAGGCGGTAGTGTTTTACTTCCTATTACTAGTAGCGGGGGGAGATCGGGGGTTATAAAGGTCTTAATTATTATCTCCCTTTCGGCGGAATATAGTTTTACTATTTTAATTATAAGGTCTAGGACGAAGTCTTTATAGGAGGTGAACTATATTTCTCCCTATCCGTCGAAGTCGTCGATACTAATTATCTAGTATCGGTAGCTACCTCC